GGGAGTTTCCGTGTGTTTATCCATTATTCATTGTTTTTCCAGTTGTAGCAGCAATACATTTGTATTGTAGAAAACCTGTAAAGTACAGAAAAGCAAAAGTAAAAACAAATCAAAGATGGCTGTAATCCCATCAACCAGAAACAACCTCTCTTAGATTTTAATGCATTTCCCCCACCCAAGGCCCCCTGCCCTCCCTGGGCCACGGGCTGAACTAGTCCGTGTATTACCACTGATTTCCAGCAGAGGGCGGTAAAGAGTCCTGCTGAACAGATGTGTCTGTCACGGTCGATTTCCCACCAGGTGAAAGTGGAATGTCTTGGAGAGGGGACACTTTTTCCTAACTGCTCAGAAGTCCTGGGGGCATGTCTGGGAAGAGGTGCAGAGGAGGGATAGATAGGGTTCAGAGGGAGCGCAGGCTCAGTCGACGTGGGGTGTCGGCTACTTGGAAGGACAGTTAATTCAGGGGAAGCATTGACGCCGTGGGCGGAGGGCTGGTGGTCTCAGCAAGGGGAGTGGATAGCTTGGGAGCAGAGCCTGGGCAGGGGGACAACAGGTGTTCTGGCTCATCTGGCTGGGGACAGCGGCGTGAGATACTGAGAGGGGACCCAGAGGAGTGAGGAATGGGTTTCCCATAGTCCTTGAACTTAGGAAAGGCAGCCAGGGTGCGGGGTGTCAGACTCCTCCTGAAGACCCGGGCACGGCTGGCCACCTTGGACGACCTCGACAAAAAAGAACAGTGACGTAGCCCCAGCTCAGAGGGGCTGAGGGCGGTGCTGGCTGGTGTTGCTGCGTGACTCTGACGCTGGAAGCTGCTGCTCTCCGGTGGGCAGGTTTGGGCATTGAAACATCCAGTGCACGGAAGTCACCACGGTGGCTGTCAGAGAGGCTGAGCGTGAGATGCAGCCAGCAGCTGCTTCGGGAAGAGAAGCTGGAATGAGCCCCAGGAAGGGCTGGGTAGGAGCCAAGGGGGCTGTGAGAGCTGAGGCCAGGAGAGGGCAGAGCTGGCAGCAGCATGAACAGTGAGGATTGGTGGCCGGTCAGAGACCAGAGATGGAGGAGCTGTGTCCCCAGGGCAGAGGCAATGGGAAGACACCAACCCCATCTCAGACCCCAACCCTTGCGCCATCCCCATCCCGGTCCCCGTTCCCCTAGCTTACAACGCAACCTTCCAATTTACAAAATGAGCCTGGCTGCATAGTTGCGCTGAGTTGTGATTTTCATTTCCTTGTAACAAATATCCTTAGAACAGATCTTATAACAAAGCCTCCAGCCATGACGTAATCTGAGTAAACCTCTGTCTTTTCTCACCAAAAGAGCCAACAAGGGTACCAGGGATGGGCTGGTCGGACCTCCAGGGTGACAGGAGGGCCACCAAGAGCACTCACTCCTCCAATGTGGGCCGAGACTCAGGTCCACCAGTGACCCAAGGTTGCTTCTGAGCCAAGGGGGTCACAGTCCTTTAAAGAAAACGAACTGGATGGCCAGATTGTACTGCACAGTAGGATTTGTTTTTTGCAGGATGTAAGATTTTTAGTAAAGTGTAAGGCAGTGCATCCCACTGAGCATAAATCAGAGGCTAAGTATCTACCACAGGGTCCTGGAGGATAGGGATATTTGTAATAGATTACCAGCTCAAAGACGGCAGGGATGTTAGGTTTGTTCACGAGTAGATGCCAAGTGCGCGGAGCAGTGGGTGTGCTCAGCAAGGAACAGTTGAATGAATGAACAAATGTCCACCGACCATAAGGTTTGCTTCATAAACTTTTTACAACTACTCAGCAGAATAGCACAGCCATTAATGCGATATGGCACAAAAATAGAAGACGTGATTTCTTAAATTAAAAAGCAGGTTATAAACCAATATGTAGAGCTGTGATCCTGTGGGGTTTGTTTGCATTTTGCTATTGGCTATATATATAAAAACTAGAGGGAAGGATAGATTCCAAATGGTAATAGCAGATAACCACGTGGCAGAATTATGGGTGATTAATATTTTCTCCCCTTTCTTCATCTATATGTTCCCGTGAGTCGATTCTTACTGATAGTGACCCTACAGGTTGGAGTAGAACTGCCCCATAGGGTTTCCAAGGAGCGGCTGGTAGATTCAAACTGCCAACCTTTTGGTTAGCAGCCAAGATCTTAACCACTGCGCCACCAGGGCCCCTGTTCACCTACAATGTATGTTAAGCCAGTTGCTATCGAGTCGACTCCAACTTATGGCGACCTCGTGCGTGTCAGAGTAAAACTGTGCTCCATAGGGTTTTCAATTGCTGAGTTTTTGGAAGTAGAGCACCAGACCTTTCTTCCAAGGTGCCTCTGTGTGGACTTGAACCTCCAGCTTTTGGGTTAGCAGTGAATTTGTTAACCATTTGCACCACCCAGGGACTCTATAATGTTATGTTGCTAGTTGTTTAATAAGAAAAAGCAATAATGTTATCGTTCTTTTATTTGTAGGAAGTTACTATTTTAAGTAGACTCTCCTCTTAAGATGGAGATAAAATCAACATCCTCCTCTCCTGATATTTATCTGGAATTTCTCCAGATGAACCTCCAGCTATTAAAGAAAATGATAAACCAGCCATGCTCACCTAGAGGCTTCCAGAAAAGAAAAAAAAAAAGTTCAAACATATCTCCTTTTGCTAATTCAGGTGACACATCTCTCCAAAATTGACGGCAACATCGCTCAGGCCACCCTCAACATCACGAACACCAACTGCCGGCTGGACATGCACCAGAAGACGCTGGCTGAGCTGGACAAGGAGGTGAAGAAAGTCAACGACCTCATCACTAACAGTGAGAACGAAATCTCCAGGCGCACGATCCTGATTGAGAGAAAGCAGGGACTCATCAACTTCTTCAATAAGCAGCTGGAACAAATGGTTTCCGAATTGGGGGTAAGAGCCCACGGGCTGGGAGAGGCCCCCGAAGGTGATTGTCTTAGTCATCTAGTGCTGCTATAACAGAAATACAAGTGGATGACATTAATTCTCTCACAGTCTAGGAGGCTAGCAGTCCGAATTCAGGGCACCAGCTCCCAGGGAAAGCTCTCTCTGTCGGTTCTTGGGGAAAGTCCTTGTCGTCAATCTTCCCCTGGTCTAGGAGCTTCTCAGCACAGGGAAACCAGGTCCAAAGGATGTGCTCCGCTCCCAGCGCTTCTTTTTGATGGCATGAGGTGCCTATCTTTCTGCTTGCTTCTCTGTCCTTTTATCTCTTGTGAGATAAAAGGTGATACAGGCCACACCCCAGGGAAACTCCCCTTACATTGGATCGAATCGGGGCTGTGACCCGAGTAAGTGTGTTGCATCCCACCCTAATCCTCTTTAACGTAACCTAATCTTGCCTCATTAACCATGGGCAGAGATTAGGATTTACAACACGTAGGACAATTTCATCAGATCACAAAATGGAGGACAACCACACAATACTGGGAATCATGGCCTAGCCAAGTTGACACATATTTTGGGGGGACGCAATTCAATCCACGACAGGGATGTTTGTGCCTGGTGGTCATTTCAGGGATTTCTTACGATGAGAAGTTAACTAAAACACAGTAAGAGTCCCTGGGTGTCCCAAACGATTAAGCACTGAGCTGCTCATCAAAAGGTTAGCGGTTGGAACCCACCTAGAGGCACCTTGGAAGAAAGGCCTGGTGATCTACTTCTGAAAAAAATCAGCCATTGAAAACGTTGTGGAGCACAGATCTAATCCTTACACGCAGGGTTGCCATGTGTCAGAGTGGACACAATTGCAGCTGGCTGAAGCACAGTCTGTCCCTTCGCTGCCCATTTTATAAGTGAAGTAATGTGTGCAGAATGCTCTAAGTCAGATGCTGTAAACCTTTTCTGCACCGGGCCAGAGGGTAAATATTTTCAGCTTTGCCGGCCCTGTTGGCACAACTACTCAACTCTGCCTTTGTGCCGAGAAAGCCACCACAGACAATACATAAGTGAGCGAGCGTGGCTGCATCCGCCACAGCTGTGTTCACAGACACTGAAATGGGAATGCCAGGCAGTTTCCACGTGGCAGGTAGCGTTGCTCTTCCTTTGATTGTTTGTGTGGCCCGCAGCCCACGCAAAGCCCGGTGGGGCCAGATGGAACCTGCTGACGCTGACCGCCGCCCTAAGTGACGTATTCTAAAGGCTGTGAGGCTGGACGTCTTATAAGTGATCCAGAGTCCCGCGGGGGCTTGACGCCCCAGGGCGCAGCGGGTGGCTGGGAGGAGCGCCTACGTACACCTGACCGCTAGGGGGCTCTCTTTTCAAAGCCACCAGCTCCAGTGGACTCTGAGAAACTCCTGACTTGTCTGTTGTAACAAAGGCAACTTTCAAAGCCCCTTTGGGGAACAACAGAGCCCTGCTGGTGCTGTGGTTTAGAGCTCGGCTGCTAACCAAAAGGTTGACGGTTCAATCCACCAGTCGCTCCTTGGAAACCCTGTGGGGCAGTTCTGCTCTGTCCTATAGGGCTGCTAGGGCAATCGACTTGACGGCAATGGGCTTGGTTTGGATTTTTTGGTTGGGGAACAGTGAGTCCGCCTGCCCTGCCCCTGCATCTGCTGGCTTCGTAGGGGGTTCCAGAGCCCCCCAAAACTATTACCTCCTACAGTAGGTCTGTGGCATATACATGGGGGCTCTCGGGGGCAGTGAACACAGCGATAGGGTCCCTGACCCTGCCTGGAGCCTATTTGAACCATTGTACAGTTTGATTATCCCGGGGGTTCCGATCAACCAAAGGGAGGCCATGGAGAATAAGTCTATATTTTTTGGGGGGGTCTTTGAAGAACAGGAATTTATTTTCTCACAGTTCTGGAGGCTGGAAGTACAAGTTCAGGACACCAGCAGCCCCGTGCTCTCTATCTGCCGCTCTGGGGAAGGTCTTCCTTGTCTCCTCCCGCAGGCGTTCCTGGGCGGTCCTTGGCTTGTAGCTGTATCTTCACACGGCATCTGTCTTCGTGTCTGTGTCCCTTCTCCCATTTTATAAAACACCATAAACCAAAACTCCCATTGCCGTCGAGTCAATTCCACTCATAGTGACCCTACAGGACAGGGTAGAACTGCCCCATAGGGTTTCCAAGGAGCGGCTGGTGGGTTCGATCTGCAGACCTTTTGGTTAGCAGCCGAGCTCGTAGCCACTGTGATAAAGCACCATGAAGAAGGCTAGTTCTTCCTTCTGATGAATGCCACTTTCAGGGGGAAGAGGTCGGGCCCCTGGAACTCGAGATCAAGAGGCTGACGAAGCTGATTGATGAGCACAACGCCAGCGTGATCCAGGCCCAGGTGAGCTGGCTGCGCCTGCAACAGGAGATGGTCAAGGTCACCCAGGAGCGCGAGGAGCAGCTGGCGAACCTGGACATCTTCCGGAAGGAGATCCACATCATGGAGCAGAAGAAGCTGCGGATCGAGAGTAAGTGTGTGCATGGACGCAGCATCTGCAGAGCGCTCAGCCCCTGCCGCTCCCGGGGGAGGGGACACGCCTTCAACGAGAGGTGGGGGTTCATTTTATCTTATTTTTTTGGTGAAAATATACACAAAAAATCATACACCACTTCAACAATTTCTACACGTACAGTTCAGTGGCACTGGTTACGTTTTTCAAGGTGTGCAGCCTTTCTCGGCAACCTTTCCCAAACTATTTCACCATCATCGGCACACACTCACTGCCCCCCGAGGTTTTCATCTGTCCTTTCGAGTTGCTGTTGTCGATTCGATCCCATATAGATAATTCTTTAAAAGCGTATAATGGCTAGTGCAGACATTCTTTTCTAATTAGGCTAAACTATTATTTGGCTCGAAGATGACTCCTGGGGGATAGTTTTGGTCCAAGGTTTAAAGGTTTCCTCAGGGCAGTAGTTTCAGAGGTCACTGCATGAGTTGGTTTTGATGCAGCCTTAAAAAAAATGCTTATGTCACATTTCGTAAACCAGTGGGGCTCGACAGTCTGCCCAGTGTGCAGATAGAGGAACCGTTGAAAAGATTTACTGAGTTGCCCAAGTTTGTGGACTTCAGGCCTCCCCACGTGTCTTTATGGAGAGGACAGTCCAATGCTCCTGGCCCAGCCAGACACAGGGACACTTGGCTGAACATGCCTGTCTTGGTCTCCTAGTGCCTGCTGTAACAGAAATGCCCCCCCTGGGCGGCTTTAGAGGACAGTGGGTTATTTTCTCACAGTTTTGGAGGCCAAAAGTCCGAATCAGGGTCTCACCCATGCGGATTCCTTCCTTGTCGGGGGCCCTGGCCATTCCTTGCTTCCTGGGCTTGTAGACGATCCTCACACATCATCTGTCTTCCCCTGTGTGTGTGCGCGTATGTGCGTGTGTCTGTGTGTGCATGTGTGTGTGTGCGTGTCTCTGTGTGTGCACATGTGTGTGTATGTGTGTGCTGTGTGTCTGTGTGTGTATGTGTGTGTACACACGTGTCTGTGTGTGCGTGTGTGTCTGTGCGTGTGTGTGCGCACGCGCGCGGGCATGTCTGTGTTGTTCTTTATATAACTCAGAACTGATGAGGTTTAGGACCCACCCAACACGGGCGTGACCTCATTAACCTAACAAAGAAAACTCTATTTCCAAACAGGAGCACATCCCCTGGTATAGGCGTTAGGATTCCAACCCCTGTTCGGGGGACACACTTCTGTCCCTAACAACAGCCCTGTGCAGAGAGCCTCAGGTCCGGCCGGGCAGCGACCCTCGCCCGTGGGGCCGCAGCAGGGTGTGCGGCTCGGACAAGACTCCTCTTTATTCCTCTTCAGCTGAACCTTCTAACTGCCCCACCGGGCCCCCACCCCCTGCCTTCCCCAGCTTGGACCCGAGTTCCAGCGTCTCCCAAAGTGCCAGGCTGTCGGGGGATGGGAGGGAGATGTCCCTTCCGGGCCACCATTGCCCACGTAGTCACCTGCCGAGACCTCCTTGGTCCCACCTGGTCCGGGTTGTGGGTCCACGTGGGTCAGCCCGGCTTTGAGAGGCCTCCAGGTCCAGCTTCCTCAGCCGCCCCCTTGGGCGGAAAATGCCACCTGTGGTCCGCGGCCCTCTCTACTCCAACACACCGAGTACCCACCCACCTCCTCTCAGTTCCTGCTACCTGCTACCCTACTCTTGGGTCACCCCACCCTGTCTGTTGGGGTTTAGTTTCTGCTGCTCGGTGGGTGGGGGGTGGGGTGGGGGAGCAGGGCCCCAGGCCACCTCTCCTGGAGACCGTATTGTCTGTGCAGAACCATGGCCCATGGGCAAGGGCTCACGTGTTCGCCTGCCTTTACATCCCCATCCCTCTCTCTTACCCGCTGACTGTCCACGCATGGGGTCCTCCCATTCCTGAGAGGAACCAGGGTTTGCAAACCTAGCAGTCAGGGGAAGAACCCTCCCCTCCTGGCCCGGCAGTGGCGTGATTTGGGGGAGAATGGGGGGGCATCAGGAGTCCCTAGGTGGTTAACAGGTAATGAACTCGCTGCTAACCAAAAGGTTGGAGGTTCAAGTCCACCCAGAGGTGCCTCAGAAGAAAGGCCTGGCAATTTATGTCCAAAAACTCAGCCACTAAAAACCCTATGGAGCACAGTTGTACTCCGACCCACAGGGGGTCGCCATGAGCTAGAGTCAACTCCACGGCAGCTGGTTGGTTGGTTTGTTTTGGTTTATGGGGCACCAGGAAGGACAACAGGGCCATAGGAACGGCGGGCAGAAAGCGCCCTGGCTGGTCTTCCAGAACATTGTCCTGCCTTGGTGGCGAGGCCTCTGAGCCCCCAGGAGCCCTGTCGCCCCCGTGTCTCTGTTCTCTGCCGCAGACAAGATCACGCAGGAGAAGAAGGAGCAGAAGGAGATTGAGCGCCACATGAAGGACCTGGACAACGACCTGAAGAAGCTCAACATGCTGATGAGCAAGAACCGGAGCAGCTCGGAGGAGCTTCAGCAGGTCACCGTGGTGACGGAGACCGAGTTCGTGCGCTCGCTCAAGGTTGGGTGACCCGGCACCGTGCCCCTCACCCCTGCATCCCCTCTGTCCTGGCCCCGGCATGCTGGCCTCGGAAGTGAGGAGGGCTCTCGTAAGGGCTGTGGCACGGGGCCATGGAGAGAGGGCACAGGTCAGGGCACACCGTGTCCACAGGTGGGCGCTGGCACTGAGACATAGCTCCACATTCTAGTGCGACGTTGGTGGCAGGGCCAGGAGTCTGGGCTGGAGGGAAATGACCCCTGTGTCACACAGGGCTCCCTCCCTCCCCGAGCCCCCCCATAGCTGTCTCCCGCCCTCTCCAATCCAGGCCTCTGAGAAGGAGAGCATAGAGCTGCAGGAGAAGCTGAACCAGCTACAGGAGGAGAAGCTGACCATCCTGAGCAGCCTGGTGGAAGCAGAGTGAGCCCTGGCCCCAGCCCACGTTGACCCTAATGTCACTGGGAGTCCAGGGCGGCCCCATGCACCTGGTTCCCAAACCCTCCACAGCTCCTCCGGGGCTGGCTCTCTGTCCCCACCACAGCTCTCTCCAAACTGGGTTTCGTCGGAAAGTGAGGAACTTTCTTTGGGAGAAACTTTTTTTACTATTATTTTTATGTGGTGCCTGATCATGAAAGTAATACAAGCCCAGCTGTGATGTTTTAAACTGTATCCACGTGTGCAGACTTACAGGCCATTCTGGCTTGCTTTCTTTCCCGGAAAACCACTGGGTATGTCTGTTTATTTTTCTCTTCCAAAAATGGGATTGTTTTATATTTCGGGGCTATTTTTCATGTCAATGCGTGTGAATCGACAACTCCATTTGAGTGGTGGCTGTGTGGCTGCGTGGATACATCAGGGGTTTGGCTGACCTCTTGGCCCCAGAACAGGGACCTTTCTCCCCATCTAGCAGATTCAAGCCTTGGTTCGGTGCCTGGGCGTTTAGATACACCGACTGTGCCTTCACAGACAGGAGAGAGGCAGACGCCCCTCTCCTGAGCCGCCCCAGGCACCATCCTGCACCTTTGCGACCCCCTCCCCACTCCTGCCCCTGAACCCGCAGTGAATCCAGCGGGGAGAACGCGCCTCAGTTTCCCCAGCTCTCACACGCCCTCTTCCACCTCTGAAGGCACCAGATCATGCTTTGGGAGAAAAAAATCCAGCTGGCAAAAGAGATGCGCGCCTCGGTGGATTCCGAGACCGGCCAGGCCGAGATCCGAGCCATGAAGGCCGAGATCCACAGGATGAAGGTGAGGGGGTTAGGGGGGCTGCTGGGCGGGACCTAGCAGGTGGGGGGGGGCCTGTTGGGATGTTGGGGCGGGGCTAGTGGGTGGGACAGGGCCTTTGGGAAGGACCTAACGGGAGGTGATGGGAAACCAGGCTGGAGGGGGCCTGGAGAGTATGGGGTGGAGACCTGGTGGGCCCGGGTAGGGCCTGTGGGCGGAGCCTAGCGGGAGGGGATGGGATGCTGTGTGGGAGGAGGGTATGGTGGGGTCGTGGTGGGCAGGACAGAGCCTGATGGATGGGGTGGGACCTGTAGGTGGGCCTAGGGGGAGGTTATGGGGGGGACCCTGGTAGGAGGGGCGGGGGAGGGACCTGGTGGGCCTGTTGGGAGGATGGGGCAAGGCCTAGCAGGAGAGACTCGCCCTGTGGGCGGGACCTAGCTGGCAGGGACGGGGGCGGGGCCTGGTGGGAGGGGGCATGGAAGGAGTGTGGGCGGAGCAGTGGGTGGGCCTAGTGGGCGGTGTGCGCCCTGGTAGGTGAAGCCTCGTGGGAGCCCGCTCAACGCCCCGGGACCTGGCCACGCTGCGGAGCATGGGTACGGTTCCCAGGGAGGCACCAAGGACCGCAGCCAGCCCAAGCTCCATGCGCTGCTCCTCTTGGCCTAACTCCCGGTCAGGGTCTGTGCAACCTCTGTCCTCACCGCCCAGAATCACACGGCAACCAGGACACGCACAACGGCATGTTGCCGACGCGGCTTTACCCGCACGCGTGCAACCAGGGCGCTTGATGGTTTCGTGCTGGTTGTGACCACGAACTTCACGACCGTCCAATGAGCTGTATACCCCGCATTCGACGAGAAGAGAGCCTCACACAGTAAAGGGGGTCCAGGAACACACACGTCTTTCCCTTGGGCTGTGCTTTCTCTCCGCCGTCATCTTAGCTAGATGTCATTACTTGGAAGATCGTGGAGTCTTTAAAAGGCTGGTATTTAAATAACAGGTTACCACTGAGATAAAGGCTGGGGGCCCTAAGGATAAAAATCAGAGCAGGTGGTAAAAATGAAGGTAACATCACTGACAATGCCGTCTTCAGCGGCAGTTCCTCTGTCTGTTAAGATCAAACGCATATGCTACTGATAAGTTGGTTTTTGTTTGTTAATATATTTTTTTAAATATTCCATTTAATTGAGTTTTCTAACTACAGAAGCCGGGCATGTGTGCTACAATGAGCCGAATCCCACCACCAGGGGAGCAGAGAACATCAGCCTTCCCTCCCCCCAGCACCCAAGCCAAGTCCCACCACC